GAATTGCTCCCTCTTACCACGTTAGATGTGTGGTTTAATGAGATATTAATGCACTGTATTGATATTCCAAATGTTCATATCAACCAAACTTTTCTTGATTAGGTTTAATGAGATATTAATGCATTGCATTGGTATTCCAAAGGTTCATATCATCTTGATTACATTACATAGCACATTATCCAAACTTTTCTTGATTAGGTTTAATGAGCTATTAATGCACTGCATTGGTATTCCAAATGTTCATATCATCTTGATTATATTACATAGCACATTTTGGAACTCATTTTGGGGCTGTAGAATTGTTGCATCTTGACATAGTGGATTGACAAGTAGGATTTGTGGTTTAATAAGCCCAATCAAATTGCTTCATCTTGATACATTGGGTTTGTATTTATTGTTCCATCTACAATTAATAATTAAAAAAAAAAATTGGATCTGTAATAATAATAATAATAATAATAATAATAATAATAATAATAATAATAATAATAATATAGGTGCATTGCATTGGTATTCCAAAGCTGTAACCATTTTGACGAGTTGGTTGCGCATTAATAACAAGTATACAAGTGCATTGGATTGCTATTAATAATTGTGGTTTAATGACATCTATCTAGGATTGCTATTAATAATTATATAGGTGCATTGTATTGACATTACAAACGTTTCTTCATATTCAATTCGTATTCAATTGCGTTGACATTCGAAATGTCTAAATAAGGGGTTATAAAAGGGATATATGTTCAGTTGTGTATTATCGCAATATGTTAGTTGGTGTCAATAATACATCTGGTCTTTTGTTAATTGTTTATAGGTCATGTTAGTTTATGTCAATAAAATGTTTGTTCTTCATGATTTTGTTAATCGATTATTTTTTATTTATTTATGTTTTTGTTGTTGTTTACAGGTCAAAGATTCATGAATTGGCATGGAATAAAGCAGGATGTCCAATTGATATTTTCAAATGAGTTGTTATTTTGATTCGTTCTTCCTAACTGTAAGTATATCTTCTAACTATTTTAATACGAAACTATATCTCCTAACTATTTTAACGATTATTATTTGATTGAAAGATTGTTTTTGTTTGGTCAATTTATTTGAATGATTAATTGTGTTAGTCTTGTCGAACGATAAGTGTATTCCTTAACAATTTTAATATGAAGATTAATTAACTTTTGTTAATTTCGTTTTCAGGTAACAGTTGTTATATGAATGAATAATGGTTCCTTAACAATCTTAACATGAACATCGATTAAATTTTGTTATGTTTGTTTTCAAGGAAATGTTCATGTACTTTACTAAGATCAAATCGAGGATGATCCTATTGTTAGTCAAACTGTGAGTATGTGTCATATCTATATTAGTAGAAACAGTTCATTTGTGTTGAATATGTTTTTTGTAAAAACATTCGTGTATTTTAATTTGTTATATGAATGATTAATTGTTTATGTCTTGCTGATGTGCGAGTACATGTGTTAAATGAATTAATTTGGCTAATTCTGTTTTTTAATTAATAGGTGTTATTTGAAATATTTCTTATCAGTCTTAATATATAATCTCTTACATTTGGGTTAAGTAAACCATTCATTTTATCATCACATGCATTTCGGTTTCCACTGAACAATCAATAGTAAATTGACCATAACTTGCTCAATAAAAAATCAATTGATGAGAGGATTAAATCTTTTAAAACTAGACAAACATGGCTTTAATTTGATATATTATACGCTTAATTTGGATAACTGTAGCCCCACTACCGAACCATTCCTTTTATCATCACACACATTTCGGTTTCCACTGAACATTCAATAGTAAATTGACCATAACTTGCTCAATAAAAATCCAATTGATGAGAGGTTTGAATCTTTATAAACTAGACAGACAGGGCTTTGAATTTATATATTATACGCTTAATTTGGATAACTGTGGCCCAACTACTGAACCATTTATTTTATTATCATACACATTTTGGTTTTCACTAAACAGTTAATAGTAAATTGACCATAACTTGCTTAATAAAAATCCAATTGATGAGAGGTTTGAATTTTAGAAACTAAACAAGAAGGCTTTAAATTGATATATTATATGCTTAATTTGGATAACTGTAGTCTCACTACCGAACCAGTCATTTTATCATCATACACATTTTGGTTTCCCATGTTTATGGATTTCCACTAAACAGTCGGTAGTAAATTAGTCATGACTTGCTAAATAAAAATCCAATTGATGAACGGTATGAATCTTTGAAAACTAGATAGATAGGGCTTTAATTTGATATATTATAGACTTAATTTGAATAACTGTAGCCCCACTACCGAACTATTTCTTTTATCATCACGCACATTTTAGTTTTCCATGTTTCTCAATTTCCACTGAACAGTCAATAGTAAATTGACCATAACTTGCTCAATAAAACTCCAATTGATGAGAAATTTGAATATTTAGAAACTAGACAAACAAGGATTTAATTTGATATATTATAAGCTTAATTGGATAACTATAGCCCCATTGTCGAATCATTCCTTTTATCATCACACATTTTGGTTTCCACTAAATAGTCAGTAGTAAATTGACCATAACTTACTCAAAAATTCCAATTGATAAGAGGTTTGAATATTTAGAAATTAGATAGATAGGGCTTTAATTTAATATATTATACGCTTAATTTAGATAAATGTAGCCCCACTTCCGAACCATTCCTCTTATCATCACACACATTTTGATTTCCCCTGTTTCTTAATTTCTACTAAACAATCAGTAGTAAATTGATCATAATTTACTCAATTGAAAACTAGAAAGATAGAGCTTTAATTTGATATATTATATGATGAATTTGGATAACTATAGACTTGCTGTCGAACCATTCAATTTATCATTATACACATAAAATCAATTTAATTTTGGTGATGACAAAGGAAAACAAATATTGATATTTAATTTTAATTATATTTGTTCTATTTCTTTTTGTTGATATTTTTTTTTTTATGTTACATACATATATCGAAAGCAGGTTATTGCTGAATATAACCAATTTTATTTGTATCACAAATATCATCGGAAGTTTGTTATCGAACCATATAGCTTTAATAAACCATTTGTAATATGTCAAATCATTATTATTATCCTTAAAGGAAAACAAATATTGATATTTAATTTTAATTATATTTGTTCTATTTCTTTTTGTTGATATTTTTTTTTTTATGTTACATACATATATCGAAAGCAGGTTATTGCTGAATATAACCAATTTTATTTGTATCACAAATATCATCGGAAGTTTGTTATCGAACCATATAGCTTTAATAAACCATTTGTAATATGTCAAATCATTATTATTATCCTTAAAGGAAAACAAATATTGATATGTAGTTTTAATTGTAATTGTTTTATCTCTTTTTGTTGATAACTTTTTATGTTACATGCATATATCATGAAAATAGATTGTTGCTAAATATAACTAATTTTATTTATTTAACAAATATCAACTAATGTTTGATGTTGAACCATATAGCTTTAGTAAACTATTCATTTTGTCATCATACACGTTTAAGTTTCCACTGAACAATCAATCGTAAATTGACCATAATTTTCTCAATAAAATTTCAATTGATGAGAGGTTTTAATCATTAGAAACTAGACAGACGTGGATTTAATTTGATATATTATACGCTTAATTTGGATAACTGTAGCCCCACTGCCGAACCATTATTTTTATCATTACACACATTTCAGTTTCTACTAAACAGTCAATAGTAAATTGAACATAACTTGCTCAATAAAAATCTAATTGATGAGCGGTTTGAATCTTTGAAAACTATAAAGATAGAGCTTTAATTTGATATATTATACAATATATTTGGTAACTATAGACCTACTACCAAACTATTCATTTTATCATCACACACATAAAACAAATTCAATTTTAGTGATGACAAAGGAAAACAAATATTGATATGTAGTTTTAATTTTATTTGTTCATTCTCTTTTTGTTGATTTTTGGATTGAGTTTTTTGTTTGATTTTTGGGTTTTGTGGGTTTTACAATTATTGTCTCTCTTTATGATGCTATCATCAAATGTTTTTTTTGCTATATGTGATGGTCAATTCTAATTGCAGCAAATAGATTTGTATCACATGACATTTATCTTCATGGCTTCTTCAATGCTTCAATTAAGTTGCCTTTAGATTATACTGTTGAAGTTGTTGTTGTTTTCTATGGGAGTTGTTGTTGCTTTCTATGTGAGTTCTCTTCTCGATATTCTTAATTTTTTTATTTCTAAAATAATAATAATAATAAAAATAATTTATTTTCTTTTCTCAACAATCAAAATCAGTTTTTTCTTTTGGCACTACAAGTCTCTTGCTTAAAAGTTCACATTTTCAGCAAGGTTTCTCTTTCTCTGATTGATTTATAGACTTATCATTAATACCTTGTAGGTTATCCTGCAAATTTTTTTGTTTTTCTTGACAAAGTTAAACTATGGTTGTATATATCAAATGATGACATATTTGAGAAGAACCATGATGATATAGACTCTGAGTTAAATTTGTGGATATTTTATTTATTGATTTTTTAATCATCAATTCAATATAAAATGAATTTCAATACAAAATATATATATTTAAAACACAAAAACACTAATAATAATATAAAAAAAATATAATAAACATAATCGTGCAGACTTTTCATCTAGTTTATGAAATAATAAAGATAATTTTGAAATTCTCTAAAAAAAGACGAATTAAGTCCCAAAATTTTTTTTGATATACAATCAAATAACTTATAAAAATGTTTAAAACTTAAAATAATTTGTCGTAGATGAAAAATTTAGATCCAACCTCGTATAATATTAATAAAAATATATAAAGTTAAATAAATCAATATAATCATAGTTACTGATTAACAAATAATATTAAGCATTAATTAAAGTGAAATGATTTTGAAACTAAATAAACAAACCAAATCCTTAACTTTCCAACGCATCATTCCACAGAGCCTCACATTCCCAACGCAACCATTGCCGCCACCACCACCACCACCACCACAATCGCCTCCCTGAAACTAACCCAGCTGGGAAATTTCATTTCCAAACGCTCTCGTTCTCAACGGAGGTTGGCCTCCGCCATGGCCGCTTCATCCGCCGGCAACAGCAACAACAACAACAACAACAACACCGCCATCCCTTTTCAGTTCTCTTCCGTTGACTCTCCTCCCCGGCTCCGTCTGACTCCCGATCAGTTCGCCCGCTGCTCCGAAGCACTCTCTACCTTCAAACAAAAGCTCCAGTCGAACCCCCAGCAAATCGCCCAAGAGTTTGCCCACCTGCAGGCCAACCGAATTCGTCCCTCCCAGATGGCGAAAAGCTGTACGGTCGCCTTGGACAGCGTTAACGTCAGCAAAAACCGCTATACAGACATTTTGCCTTGTGGGTTTTTTTTTTTTCTTTTTTCTTTTTGGTTGTGGTTGTAAAGTGCTGATTTTTGTTGATAAATATTGTGTTTTGAGATGGAATTTGACAACTTTTTTTTTTTCAGTTGACGATAATAGGATTGTTTTGAATCCGTGTAAGGATTATAGACCTTCTGCAAAAGGCTATATCAATGCCAGCTTAATCACGGTAGATATATTCGTTTTATTTTTTATTTTTTATTTTCAAAGGAAATGCTATGGTAAGGGCCGGTAAGTATACTGGAATCCATGGTTTTGTTTGGATAGAATGATCATTTTGGTAACATGTAACACAATTTTAGAAACAGGGTTTGCTTTGGTACTGGCTCGGTAATGTTACAGGTCGATATTTTGCTTATAATTACTTGTAACCGAAATATTGAGATGATAATGGCACTGGGTCGGTACCATAATATGGCACTTAGAAACAATCAACAGCAATCTAGTAATATTGAAATATGAATTGTACTCGATATTAGTTTAGTGTATAGCATAAGATTGTTAAATGTTACCATTTTGAATTGTAACGGTAAGATGAAGTTACTAGGCCAAGACCTTAGTATTTCCGCTGTTTAATCAATGTATTCTATTTATTTGATGTTGAAATTTATATACGTTATCTGTGTGTAGTCATCTTCCTCTGAAAAGGTATCTCAGTTTATAGCTACACAAGGCCCTTTGCCTCACACCTATGAAGACTTCTGGGAGATGGTAATCCAGTATCATTGCCCTGTCATTGTGATGCTTACTCGATTGGTCGACAATTTCAAGGTACTTAAGTATGTCGATATTTAAGTATAATTATCTTGAAATTGACTGGTTTCGACATGTCATTTTGGCTATTAAGATGCTGGCTACCGATATGTTTGTTTAGTTAATTGCCTGTTTTTGTTAGTGACTGCATAATTATATAAAGGTGAGCCCTTTCACTGTAGGTTGTAAAACGTTTTCCATGAAGTGTTTGTTACCAATACTTGATTCAGTAATGTATTAATTTTTTTGCCAAGAAGGGAGATTGTTATTGTCAATGATAAACAGGATTTAGACCATTATTAATCATACCTATTATGTTGAAAGCATGAGAAGAGGTGCTGCTATTTCACTTCGTACAATCCATTAGCATTTATTGCAATTAGATCTTCAAATCATCTCTGGCTCTCGCTCTGTAACTCACATGCTCATGGATCTTCTGTTAAATAGTAAGAGTATGTCTTTTGTAATTAACTTGTCACCGATGGCTTCCTATAGCAGATTTTTATTTTTCACTAAATATGTCTGCTCTTGTATCTCTGTATTTTGTTTTTCACTTTTATGGCTAAGCATGAATCTATATCTATTATCTAAAATGGTTTTGGTATCTTCAGATATTGAACTGTATGTGCAGATGGTAAAATGCGGGGATTACTTCCAAGCCGAAGATGGTCCTAGAGAATTTGGTAATATATGTATTGTCACTAAGTGGATAAAAACTACTGACAGTTCATTAGTGTTGCGCAACCTTGAGGTGAATTACAAAGAGGTAAGATGGTTTCTTAATTTAAATTTCTTTTAAGCAAATGTTTCTGATTCTTAATGATTGCTTAGCATACCCAAGATGAATTACATGAGCCATGTGGGAGGGAATCATTTTAAAAATGAAAATAGTGAGGCGGTATATCTCTTATGATCTGTTTTTGTGTCTGTTTTATGAAATTAGACAATATAAGAGAATATCTTTACCTGTTGCTGGCTTTCTTTAGGCTTGGTATATATTCCAATGGAGGTATGACACTCACTGAGACACAATTTTGGATGTGATAGAATTGCATGAACGATAATCCCTTCTGTGTTCTGCAGTGCATTTGGAATGAGTTGCAGTTAGATTAGTGCTTCTGGTATCAGAAAACTTGATTTAACATCTATGTATGCTAGGTCTTTTATTGAAGGGAGGCCTCGAGTTTCCTGTTTCATGTGTGCATTAATGTATTTACAGGAACCCTAGATAAAAGCATCAGAAGATTCAGAGCTCCAGCTTCCTTATGACAAATATATGCTTCAGTCTATAATTACACCATCACCAAACTAATTCATGATTAATTTGTTATTTGCCTTTTTTCAAATGTTTGTTCTTTAATTCGTTTTACACAGAGACTATCTTTCATTAGGAGCAATACTTGTATATCTCCTATCTTAATCATGTTATTTTTGCTGCAGTCAGAGGATCCACCCGTGTCTGTTTTGCATATTCTGTATCCTGAATGGCCCGACCATGGAGTTCCCCAGGACACATTGGCTGTTCGTGAAATTCTGAAAAGAATATATCCTGTACCACCCAGTCTTGGGCCGATAGTGGTTCACTGCAGGTTCCAGCTCAAGTTTATTGCTATAATGTGTCCTCATGATGTTTGGTAAATCATCTTTTTACATTACTGATAGAATCTCTGTCTTGCTCAGTGCAGGTGTAGGGAGAACTGGGACATACTGCACAATTCATAATTCAATCCAGAGAATTCTTGCTGGAGACATGTCTGCGATGGATATTGCTAAAACTGTCACACTATTTAGGTCTCAGCGAATTGGAATGGTTCAAACCATGGTATTTTCTTCTTTCTTGTTTCCTTAGTTTCATAAATTCACTTTTTACTTTACCGTAGGCATCTGAACTTATTGATCACCAATTTCAACTTCTTGATAATTCAAGGGTTCATAAGAGCTTTAAGAGTGTAATGGTAAACATAATTTATGTTATTGTTAAGTGGACAATTCTATGTGCAATTGTTCAATGGAAAGTGATTTTCTATGAAAAGTGGGATTTTTCCTTGTACTGTCAATGTCCTCCCTGGACTCTGGCTGGCTGTTGGTAGAAAAAAAAGGAAAAAGGAAAATTACTCCCCTTCAATATATTTCACACTTCGAGACAGTTGTATCTAATTATAAGTCATTTACAAAGTTATTGATGAGAATTCTTCTCAACTTGAGCTTCCAAAATCTTTTTGTTTCTGATTTTTGTTAATGTTTGTCATAATTTGTGTTGAGTCTTTGATGCTTGTATTCATGAATAATTTTTTCCTTGAGAACAGCTAAGAGGGATTACATTAGAAGTTGGTTTGTTAAGATAAGGATTGTCTAAATGAAGTTAAAGAATAACTAATGCTATAAAATTTTGGATGTATTCAGGAAAGTAATACCAATGTCCTTAGAAATGTTGTACAGTTTCAAACTTTTATTACCTTTTTTTTTTCCACTGCAGACACTACTTGGGGATTCTTTGTTGTTTCGCATATGTTTTTATTTATACATTATGCTCCTGGAAGAACGTAGAACTCTCATTGTTTCCTTTTCTAGTATTTAAGTATCCATTCCATTATGACGTCATTACTTCTTTTAATGTTTATATAAGTTTAATAATTTTTCATGACTTCAGTGGCATCCATTTGTTCATTTTTAGTGGTAGGAAAAATCAGTGTTTTGAAATTCTTTGATTTTAAACATCATAGCATTTTTTTAAATGAAATGGAAGTTGTTGCAGTGATTGCTATTTGAACATTTTTGGATTTCCCATTTAAGCTTTTGTCGACATTTAACCCATTGTTTTTTAGGAACAATATGTTTTCAGTTATGAAGCTATTGTTGATGAATTGGAAGACCTAATCTCAGATTTCAACAACAGTGAAATCAGCTCAAAGTGGTACGTCCATCTGTCCTTCTGGTGAACCTTTTTTACCTTTACGGAATTGTGCTTGTGCTGTGCATCTCATCGCCTGCTTGAAGATTGACAGTGTCATAGCTTTCAGTCCTTAGCTTCAACTTATACCTTTGTTATTCTTGCAACGCGTAATGCTTTTGTTAATCTAGCATTTCTTTTCGTGTTTAGCAGCTAGATTGGTAACTGCTGCCCATGCTTTTAAAGAAGTTGGAGCTGCTATGTTACTTATATAAATCTCCAGAAATATGCAATTTATGCTACCCTCCATGCTCATTCCCCGGCGAAAGTAATAACGGTACTACTGAACAACCAACTCAAGTTTGCCTTTGATGTTGCAGTTGGGTTTAGATTGATATTGAAGAGAAAATGTAGCCGACGCAGGATGAATCCCTTAGTTTCAAGTTGGGCATTTTTGGGGAGTTTACTTGCTGTGTAGTGCCAATAAGTTCATCAAATTCGTGTTACTTGTAGATTCTTTTTTTTTTTTGTTATTCAGTTTTTGAACTGTGCTATATCTGAATTTATTGGGGGATGCTTCATGCAGTTTCTCTTTTTTCACAAGATAATTCTTTTTGCTAAACTAAGAACCAATCAGTTGAGCTTACTGACTTGACGATCTTCACTAATTGGACAGTTGTATATACATACACTTGTATAACAATAAAACTATACTTACAAAGAAATCTTACAAAGATTCTAATACTAGAGGTGAGAATTTAGGATTGGGCCCAAAAAACCGATCTTAGGACAAAGGACCGGTCTTAGAAGGTCTGGTCCCAAACCTGGATCAGGCCCATGGAGGAGGGCTCAGGCCCTGGTTCGATCTCTCCTCCAAGGGTCCCAAGCTCGGGCCAAACCCTTTTTCCAAAAGTCATTGGATAATATCTGAAAACCTCTCGTAAATTTTAGTATTGACAAAAAATTAAGGGTTGAATTAATATTTTATCAAATTTAAAAAATAATTACTAATAAAAACAATATATNGATATTTTTGGAATAAATAAAAATTTTAAGGACCAATTTGAACTTTTTAAGGGAAATTTTTGTAATATATTAAGATTTAAGGGGTTAATATATAATTTTTTAAAAATAAAATATTGCTGACGTCATCGGTCCAACCGACCGGTCCAACCGGTTGGACCGATTGAACCGTGACCCGGACAGCAAAACGGTTTGCCCTCCGGTCCGGGTTTTAAAACAATGCCAAGGACTGATGGTTTGGGATCAGGCCCATGGAGGAGGGCTCGGGCCCTGGTTCCATCTCTCCTCCAAAGGTCCCAAGCTCAGACCAAACCATTTTCTCCTTTTTCCAAAAGTCATTGGATAATATCTAAAAACCCCTCGTAAATTTTAGCATTGAAAAATTGATATTTTATCCAATTTAAAAAAATAATTATTAATAAAAACAATATATTTAATTATTTATTTATGAAGTGTGATCATATAAATATTACATTTATGTTAAAATTAATTAATTAAATTATCTCTTTAAAGTCTAGATTTAAAACCCCTTATATTTATAAATAATATTAATTATAATTAATCATTAATTTATTTAATATTTTATTATTTTTTAAAATTAATTAAAAATTTATTAATCTCTCCTTAAAAATTATATAAACCCTCCTATATAATTCAGACTCGATTGGTACCGATCCTTGCGTAGGCCTATTTAATACAAAATAAGGTGGCAAAAAATGAATGGAAGAGTGAAACAAAAAGTCAAACTTATTATATTCACTATTTCATTCATTTTTTATCACATCACTTTGTATGGAGATTTTTGTAAGATTTCTTTATAAGTATAGTATTATTCCTCGTACAAAGTATAAACCAAGTAAGTTAAGATCAATTGTAGTGCAATAATGCTAGATATACAAACAAATCTTACAAAGATTTATGTATAAATTGACGCGACGACAAATGAATAGAAGAGTGAATACAAAAAGTTAAACTTATCATATTTACTTTTCCATTCATTTTGTGCCACCTCAGTTTGTATACAAATCTTTATAAGATTTATCTGTACATGTAGTGATGGTGACGTAGACTACAAACTATAACTACTAGTTTTGTGGTCTGATGACAAGACTTTAGTTATCTAAATGTATTACTCAAAGGTCTTGTGTCACATTTGTGACTTGTCCTACTGGGCTTATATCGTATTCAATGGATCTTAATAATTAGTTAAAGTATGCACAAATTGATCGGACACCTTGGTTATAAAGAAAAAAAAAAGTAGACCACATAAAAATTTACAAACGGAATTTAAAATATTTTGATAATTTAGTCTTCAAATAGAATTATTATAAGGAATATAAGGCTAAGAATACTAATTCATGTTGCAAGAATGTTTGGCAAGAATGTTTTTTCTCTTCGTTAACTTCTTAGGTCAAATAACTTTAAGACTATCTGTCACATTTGTGGTTTACTTGAAACATTAAACTTGTAAGGTATTTAATAGACTTTGAAAATTAATTGAGATGTGAATAAGCTAACTCGAACACCCTTGTTATACATTAAAATTAAAAAAAAAAGTCTTCAACCCTGATATTTTTGTATTAATTTAAGACCTTGTAATATATTACATTGAAAATTGTACATTTAATGCATCTTGAAATGACATAATTTGGATGCAATCTTGCTCGTTCAAACACATTAAATATAACTTATTTTCAATAGTTTTAAAGGGGTAATTTTTATAATAGATAAAGTTATTTGTCCAAACTCTTTATATAAAGAGAGTTTGTACAAAATGACGTAACATATCATATGAATATCATATGACATGAGGATTCATATAACATTGAGTTATATGGGTCTTAATACTATATGACATGCTTTGTGATATATCACATGTATAAATTCTCTTTGTATAAGAGTTTGTACAAATAGTATTACCATACGATAATAAATGGTTTTGAATGATTGCAAGTGGAAAAGAAAAGATAGCTCCAAACCAATAAAAGTCCCAATTGACTTGGTCTTGTTGAACCATATAATTAACTACTATTATTTGTTGGACCACTTTCCCATTACCATTTAGAGTAAATTTAATCAACGGCTAGGATCTATTTAGATGACTATATGATTTGACTACAAGTTTGACCATTATCCTCATCAAGACTTTATATAAAGAATTACAAAATGTTTTCGTGAAGAATTTAATGTAAGTTTGAATTTTTTAGTAGGAATCAAATATTTATTAAACATTTAGGTTTATTTTATTCGCCCATTGAGAGATAATTAAATCTCAAACGTAGTAATGATTTTAAAAAGTGTTTAATGCACCCATAATTAAGGTATTTTTAATACTTATAGTTATTTTTTTCCTATTTCTTTAGTGATTTTTATGATATTTTATAGGGGTTTTTGACAATTTTATGGAGATATCTAATAGACGAGTAATGCTACACTTATAAAAATTCTCATACAAAGTGATGTGACAAAAAATAAATGGAAAAGTGATTATAATAAGTTTGATTTTTTGTTTCATTTTTTTATTTATTTTTTGTCACCTCACTTTATATGAAAATTTTTGTAAGATATTTTTATAAATATAGTATTATTACTAATAGACCAATACTTTCCAAAAATCATTGGACGATTGAATCTTAATTATTTCTTGGAGGGACGAATGAAATAAAATATTTGTAATTAGGAAAAAAAAAAAAACTATAGTCTTCGTCTTTATGTTTTCGATGTCAAAAGCTGATGATCAATGATTGGAAATTTGGAATTTAAATTGTTCTTGATTTTAATCAGTACGTAAAAAAATATTTAAACATTAATTTTTGATAATTCCTCGTACATACAATATTTGATGTGCATGAACATAATATTTTCATAAAGTATTAAAAAAATAATTTTAATCTTGGTGAAAAGAAATAGGATGAGGATGTGAACTAATCAAACCATGATTGTAAAAGTGGGCCTACTTGGCATAGCTAGTAAGTTGACTCATGAGAGTCCATCATATATCAACAAAACCTCATTCAATTAACGTGGGCCAATTCCTTTCTCTGTCTCATTCAATTTCTATTATCCATAATCTTTGGCCTTGTTTTAAGTTTCATTTTATCTCTCTTTGTTTTCGGGAATTTGTCCCCATTCTCTCGTACTAATTAATCACAATCTTTGACATTATATATTATATTTATATTTCTCGTTACAAATTTACTGTTTAATGTTATTGGTACACAATCATATAAACCCATAAGTTTAAATTGTGAGATAAATTCAATATATTGAGATAAAGATTAATTACAATGAATTTAAAATATTACTTTTATTTT